GGAGATGCATTGTAATAGAACCCACGAGGGGTGATTTTGAATTATTGGCTTTAAGGCATTTTACAGCATGATGTGACAAAAGCTGATAGGCCAAGAAATGCTTATAATTATTGTAATTAGGAAATAGTTGCATATTCATAGACCCATCATACATTTTCAAACTTTTTCTGCAAACTATTTTTCATATTTTAAGAACTGTTTTACATGGCCACTCTTTGAGTTTGTCTTTTTAGAGCGTGTGTGTTTTTTTGGCTGTGGTTTTAATTTTTTTTTTTTTAAATTAGTCTTAATTTGGGCTGTGGTCTTCAATTTTTACAGATGGTTGGTAACTTGTATATTAGTAATAGGTGTTTTTATTGGGTGTTATTTGTTATTTATTAACACCCAATAAATTATATAAACTTTTTAAACCAGTATTTATTAATTAAGTAGGGAGTTTACTTACTACAAAGACACTTTATCAGTTTATGTTACTCTTAAAGAAAATCTATATTTTAAAAACACAGAGTATCCACTTTAATATTTGTGAAAAGCCAACACCATAATATATATTTATAACAGAGCACATCCCTGCCTGCCTCAGGAGCTGGGGCTCATCCACTTTTCCCTATGGAAAACCCTCTGGAAGGGCCTTGGCTTCCCTGCAGATCTCCAGAGTGGGGAAGAGGCTTTTCACAGCTCGTTAAATATAGAGGCTACCTACAAATGTAGCCCAGTTACCTCTCACTGGAGGTGCTCCCAACCAAGGGGAAGTGACAACCGAGTCTTCACACCCTTTAATTATAGCAGCCTTTACATAACAGTGTCAGATAAATGTGTTTTAGGATAGGTGGCACCTCGCTTCCTCCAGAAGAACTGTCAAATTAGACCAGACTCATTTATTACTTGGAATTCCAAGGATTAAAGCAAGCCATCCAGCCGGTCTGTTTGAATTAAAACCTTAAAATTCACCCAATCCTCTGTGCCAGGAGATATCCCCAAACAACACAATCCTTCTTTCTTTTGAAACAGAAATACATCCCTGTTCCTCTGGCGGCTCCAAGGACTTCCAAATCCCAGCGATTCCATCCCATTCTGCTGGAAAATGGGGTTAGAGGGGATCTCAGGAGGTTCTCCACCCTGGGCACAGGCTCCAGATTCTTATTTAATCCCTATTACAAACAGAGGAGGAGGGAGAGGGGCAGAGAAATTGCTTGAGAGGGAGAAGGGGCAGAAATTGCTTGAGAGAGAGGGGCAGAAAAATTGCTTGGGAGGGAGAAGAGGTAGAAATTGCTTGAGAGGGTGAAGGGCATAAATTGCTTGAGAGGGAGAGGGGCAGAAATTGGTTTAGAGAGAGAAGAGATAGAAATTGGTTCAGAGGGAGAAGGGGCAGAAATTGGTTTAGAGGGAGAAGGGGTACAAGTAGTTTGGGAGGGAGAGGGGCAGAGAAATTGCTTGAGAGGGAGAAGGGGTAGAAATTGGTTCAGAGGGAGAAGGGCAGAAATTGCTTGGGAGGGAGAAGGGGAAGAGATTGCTTGGAAGAGAGAAGGGCAGAAATTGGTTCAGAGGGAGAGGGGTCAGAAATTGGTTCAGAGGGAGAGGGGGCAGAAATTGATTCAGAGGGAGAGGGGCAGAAATTGGTTTAGAGAGAGAAGAGATAGAAATTGGTTCAGAGGGAGAAGGGGCAGAAATTGGTTCAGATGGAGAGGGGGCAGAAATTGGTTCAGAGGGAGAGGGGCAAGGAGTGGGGCTGTGCCAGGTAATCCAGGGGAGTGAGGAGCTGGCCTGCTTCCCACGGATGGAGGCAAGGTGGATTGCTGCAGATTGCTGACTCTCCTTTCCATTAACAAAATCCATCCCTGGGCTCTCCTGCTGATGTCAACAAGAGCAGCTTTCCATAGGGGACAACAATTTTCTCCAGCAGGCCCCAGAATGCAGAAGATGTGTTTCATGGGGAAGATGCTTTGGGAAGAATCCCAAAGTTTGTGTTTTATGGGGAGGATGCTGATGGAGACTGTGGGTTCTGGAGCCCTCTGTGTGCTGGCAGGAGTGGATCCATATCCAATCCTGCTCTTAATGCAACCACTAATGCTCTTTGTTCGTGTTCCCTCGCCTTCTGGGAGGGGTTTTTTTGCCTCATTATCCCTAAGTAATGCCAGGAATCCAGGACTACAACCTGACATGAGAGCCATAAAGAACTCGGCCGTGTTGGTGTTGGGGTTTTGCTGCTGCAGGGTTTAATATTCCGGGAAAAGAGGCAGTGCTGCTGCTCTGGGGAGCAGTCCCAGGTGGAAGTGGGATTTTTTTGGGAGAAGGGAGAAGTTGCTGACTCCTTCCCATCCCGGCTTGGTGCAGTGCCTTCCCCTGCCTCGGCAATCTGGATCCTGCACATTTCTTTCTTTATTTATTTATTTCTTTCTTTATTCCAGCAGCACTTCAGCGTCTTTATGCAAATAGTTCCTTGCTCCAGCTCCTGAAAGAACCACACAAGTGCTGACATTTGATTGAGGAATCATTAGGTTCGGGCTGGAAATAAAATTTTCTCCGGTTCTGTATTCACACCCTCAGAAAAAAAAAAAAAACAACCAAAAAACAGTGTTCCCACATTTGAGTGGCTCAGGACTGACTAAATAATGGATATTTTGGGAGAGATGGATACACGTCTCAGAGAGATTTCCATTGTGCTCTAATTAAAAATAAAGAGGATGTGAATAATCTCTAATGGCAGCAGAGTGTTTGGAGGAGGCCAAGTATTTTGGAGGGCTCTGGATACTCAAAGTATTCTGATTTTTGAGCCCTTCTCTTTCCCCCACCTCCAACCTGGAGATATTTTAGTCTGGGTTATATCCTCAATGACTTGTTGGGCATTAAAAGTTTTGGTCTTGATTTAGATTTCTTTCAAAATCTCCCGTGCCCTTGGAAATGTGGAGTTGTGGGTTCTGATTAACATCATCAATGAGTGCTATTAAAAAAAAAAAAAAAAAAGAATAATGCAGCAGCTGAAGCCATTCAAAAAACGGCATTTTTTTACAGGTTAGACTTTAACAAGGCTCATTTCAGCTCTTTAGCCATTCCATGTTTCCAGCAGGTCCTTCCTGTGGTGTTGCCCACTGCCTGAACTGTGGAATTCTGTGCTGGATAATATCAGCTCCACTCAGTCCCCCCGTTCCCCCAGCATATTTATTATATTTATATTACTTCCCAGTCAACTTAAAATAGCTGGGTGTCTTCCTCCCTCACCTCAGTGTGTGCTTCTTGGATAAATTATCTCATAATATTCAAATCAGCCTTTGATTTAGAATTCCTCTGTATTACAGGGATTTGTATTTTTATAGCATCTTTGAGGAGCCTTTTGAGTTGAGTCATTAAATATATATTTTTAATAAGCTCTGTGTCTTAAAAGGAAATGTAAGGACTGGAAAACAAATAGTGATTCCCCTGACTTCTGAATTAAGTTGTTTTATTACAAATCTATGTGAAGTTCATTTTTTCCCCTTCATCTTGTGATTTCACAGCTTTTTTTTTTTTTTTTTTTTAAAGATTTTGAGGTGAGCAATGATTCTTTCAATCTGGAACATCACAGGTCTTCAAAAACTCAGTAGAACAGGCTTTAAAAATTAACTCCTGGACTGGGAGTTTTATGAATATTTTAAAGCTGAGATCCTCTTCCATCAGAATTAGTAAATTGGGAATAACCACAACTTTGGAGAATTTTCAATTGAATTTGTAAGAAACTGTGAAAATGGGAATATTCACAAGAACAACACCTTTGGCTTTGCTTCAGGTGTCTGTTGGACACTTCCCGTGGGATTCGTGGTAACTTTGCAGAACTGAAGGAAGATTTTGGAAGGAAAAGGGGATGGAAATAAATGGAAAACAAAAATAGGAAACGTCTGCAAAACTGCAGTGTGAGATCAGATTGCACTGAAGATGAGGTTTGAAATAATTGTTTTAATAAGGATAGGAAGTAAATTGTAAATTAGTTCTGTCATTAGTGTTTAATTATTTATTGAGTTTTTAATCACGTAGTGTTACACCAGAAGTTTAATTTGTAGAGCTCCAGAAGGAACCTGTTTAGAGATTTTCTTTCTTAATTTAGTTGTAAATCAGGTTCAAACTTCTATTCTTGTAATTCTTGGTGTTTAGGATTTGGCTTTCTTGTTTTCAGACATCATGTGTGTGTTTTCTTTTAATTCCTAGTGTTTAGTCTTAGTGTCTTCAGGGTTTAATTGTTTCCAAATATTGCTGAGGGTGGAGGGATGGTTTTCCTTGGAAACCACCCGCTGTTCTCTGGAATCTTGAAGAAGAAAGACTATATTTTATTGTAATTTTTTTTTTTTTTTTGGTAAATAATCTGTAAAGAAATCACAGAATTGAGCTGGAAGGGACCTATGAAGACCATCCAGTTCAAGCAGGAAAAGATCTTTTTCCTCATGAAAAGATGTTTTATCCTCATGGAAAGATGTTTTTCCTCATGCTGAGCTGGAACTTGTGTTTTATTTTACGGCCATTGCTCCTCAACCTGTCACTGACACAACCGAACGGAGCCCGGCACCAGCCTATTGTGGAGCTATTTATGTGCATTAATGAGATCTCACCTCAGTTTCTCCAGACTATTCGGTATTGTTTATTGCAAACCAGTTTTATTATTATAAATAAGCAAGGCACCGCCGCCGTCTCGGCCACCCCCGCCGCCATCAGCCCGTGAGGCGCCGCCAGGCGGCGCCAGCGCGCAGCGCCGCTCGCGAGCCGTGCGTCCCAGCCAATGGCGTGGCGGCCGCGGCGCGTTCCAGCCAATGGCGTAGCGGCGGCGGCGCGTCCCAGCCAATGGCGTGGCGGCGGCGGTGCGGTTCGGCCAATGGGAGAGGGCGGCGCGGCGGGCGGGAAGCAGCGGGGCGGGCGAGGGGGGAGCCGGCGGGAGGCGGCGCCGCCGCAGCGCTGAGGGAGCTCGGCCCCGCCGCCTCACCGCGCTCCGCCGCCGCGCTCCCCGGCCCTCCGGCCCCGCAGCGGCCCCTCAGCGGCTCTCCATGTACGACAACTTGTACCTGCATGGGTTTGAAGACTCGGAGGCGGTGAGTGCGGCGGGAGCGGAGCGGGGCGGGGGGCGCGCAGAGCCGCTCGGGGCGGGCTGCGTGTCTGTGGTGCGGGTGAGGCACCGCGGGTGACCCTGCGCTGCCCCAGAGATGCCGGGACGGGCTGCTGTGGTTCCTTAGGGAATTATCCCTCCCCGGCATCCCTCACACAATGGTTCTGTGGCTGCACAGAGCTCCGGTGCCGTGGTCAGACGCTTCGGTTCGGGAGCGTTCCCCGCCGGTGTCCGAGTTGTGTTTTTTTGGCAGCCCGGAGAATGGCCGGGATTGCCGCGGCCATGGGCACGCTGGTCCATATTAAACAGGGCTCCGTTACATAAGGCGTCGTGGACAGCTCGTAAAATACACAGATAACAACATAATATAGAGTGTACGTCAATGCAGACGTATGTATGGCATGATGTGGTGTCCTCGGGAGGATGGATGGGTCCTGTAGGGCTTCGGATGAGGAATTTTTTCCTGCCTGTGTCAGCGTTGGTCTGGAAGTGCAATCCCTCTTAAGTGTTGCCTCAGTTGTTTTAGCATCCCTTTATTTCAGGGAGAGAGGAGCAGCAACTGTGCCAAATTGACATGGATGCAGTGCACCATGTTGAGAGGAAATACCGTATATTGGAACCCTTCCGAAGTGGATATCTGAATTATTCCAAAACGGTGCTGCTTAGAAGCCTGCAGTGGTTTGGGTTGGAAGGGTTTAAAGCTCATCTCACAGGCAGGGACACCTTCCACTATCCCAGGTTGCTCCAAGCTCCATCCAACCTGGCCTTGGACACTTCCAGGGATGAGGAAACGCTTTGGGTCAATTTAGAAATTCCATGTGTTAACTTTTCTTTTGGGTTCTCTCTCGCTGCTCCTGCTGCTCACAAGCTGCCAGGCCAAGTGCAGATGAACGTGTTGGTTCCTTTAGAGATGTGTTTTGGGATCCAGCTGGATGTTTCTGTAAACCAGGCAAAGCTGTTCTCTCCATCCCGAGTCTGTTTTGTGCTGGTTTAATGTCTTCCAGCAAGGTCTAATTATGCTTTAAGAAGACAACTTAAAAGTGCACTAATAGGGCTGAGAAAACTGAGTTGCTGGATGGTGGTTGGTGTAGAAAAAATGTGTGACGGATAGAAGGGTGTTTTCAAGATGCTCAACTCCGTGCATTCCCAAAATCCCAGGGGATTGGAAGGGAGATGAGCCAAGGCAGGGTCACCTGGAGCTGGTGACAGGAATGCATCCAGGTGGGTCTGGAATATCTCTGATATCTCTGAGAAACTGTGGACAGAGTTCCAGTGCTTGGCCACCCTCCATGGAAAGAAGTTCAGATGGAATTTCTTGGGGTTTAGTTGATATTTCAGTAAACCCCGATGGTCTCTTCCAAAAATGTTATTTGGAAAAAGCAGCTTTAATGGCAGCAGAGACCTACCTGTTGCACAAACATCTGGGTTAGGATTTGTGCTGGAAGAATTGTGTTTATAGATGAGAGGAATTTGGTCTTTAAATGTCCACTTGGAAGGACTGGGATGAAGTAATCTCCAGATTCCTTAATACTCTCTTAAGCAGTTTATGATAATGCAATTTTACAGCTTTTTAAATTTTACAGCCTCTCTGGAATTGAGAATGCTTTTGATAGACTTAATTTCCAGAATCACAGGAATGTGTGAGAACGTCCCTCTCCTTAGTAAAAACACCTCAAACCCTAAAAGCAATCTGGATCTCTTGGCTGTATGGAAAAACTGGAGGCCATAAACCCTAAAGGCTCGGGCACAAAGCAGTTAAAATTCCCCGAGTGTCTGTTTGCTTTTTTGCTCCCGAACCACTTGCTTAAAACATTAAACCTTATTATTTTAGCTCCTGACTCAGGGATTGGGAATGCCTGCTGAGACAATATCCTGGCAAACAGGTAGTGGGGATGGGTCACATGAGTGCCACTTTCTGGCCGGAGACAAGCTGGGGAGAGAATTGAGACGGCAGGAAAACAAATTGTGGTGGAATTCTGGTTCCCTGCGGTGAGGAGCAAAATAAGTGTGAGAGTGCAGAGATGAAAGAAAGCAGAGCCTCTCTGCATTGTTCTGGTTTAGGACCTGGAAGAGCTGGAGCAGCCCCGGGCTTGGATGGGAGCTGGGAGGGAGGGCTGGTGCTAATTGCAGCGCTTGCAGCACGGAATAAAGCACGGGCACATGAGTCACCAGCACGGGGAATGTCTGCATGAAGTGGGCATTTGCCCTCAAAAAAACCCATCCTGCCACTGTGCAGAATGCAGCTCGCTTTTGCATCAGAGGCAGAAGTGAATGAGTGGCACTTACCCCCAGTAAACACGCTCATTTTTGGAAAAGTGCTGTAAAATTTATACCTAATTTCTCCCGATCCGCTGCTCAGACAACACCAGGAGAAGCGTGCAGGTGAAATTTTCCTGTTAAAATCAACAGCAAACGTATTTTTTAACAGTGAACAGGTATTTCCATGATTTCTGTAACAGCAGCTCTTATTATAATGTGTTTGTGTATGTGTATATATATATAAAACATGTAAAGATACCATTTTTATTGATGGATATATAAAGAAATGAGTGTGTGCATGGCATTACAGTCCATTACCAGCTGTGATGATTAACGTGAAGTAGATGATGCAGTAGCTGGTGTGAGGCTTTTTGGAGGAGGAAAATTACACTGCTGGAGCTGAGAAAAACTCCCAGTGATTGTAGACCAAGAAAAAGTCATCTCCACATTTAGGAAAAGAGGTGCAGGGAGAGGGAAGTGAACAATTCTGCAGGGACAAGTGTCCTTGTCAGGAGCACAGGAAGATGGAGAGTGCATCACTGTAGGGAGAAGCATCTTCCCACTGAAGATTTTTGCCTTGCTTCTTGTCCTGCCTTGTGATTCTTTTTGATTTTTAGGCCTTTTTTCCAATTTTTTTTTGCGTAGTTCTAAGCAGGGTCACGCTTTTGGGAATTCAAGCTTGTTTGCCTTGTAGGGAAGTATTTCACATTTTTGATCACAAGAGGATATAAAAGCCCATTAGCACAGGGGCTTAAGGCAGTGAGATAAGCAAATAATAAATGAATTTTGTTTTACCTTTCACAGTTGGGAAGCATGTCTGTGGTGGGGAGAGATTGGAATTCTGCTCCATAGACCAGTCCAGAGTTTCTCTGATTTTGGGAAAGACCTTTTTCAGAAACAAACTTCAGTGAAACCTACCCATTAGAAATCACTTCTTTCTTTTCTAAAATTACATTTCCATTATTTCCAAAATTACATTAAGGCAGCATTTCATTAAAAAAAAAATTATCTACACATCAGGGCTGGTGTGGGGTCAGGGAGGGGCTGGTGTGGGGTCAGCAAGGACTTATTTGCTCTTTCCCCAGCAAATTCTCTCCTGAGCCACAGATGCACCTTGTTTCCTAGAACTCTTTAATCTGAGTTAAACAAGAGTTAACAAACAAGAGTCAGACAAACACTGTGGTGGGATTCGTGCCCACAAAAGTATTTTAGGTTCTCAAAGTCCTTTGGTGTTCACAGGGACTCAGCACCAGTGGTAATAAATGAATTACTGGTCCCAGTTTGCTGTACAAAGGGCCATGAGCAGGACTGTGTGTGGTGCTGCATTCTAGGATTTGTCTCCAGTTACTCCATACAATCCTTGAGAGCACTGCTGGGAATTTTTAGGGAAAAGGTGATGGGAATAGTGGGAAACCACATTCTGTTCACCACGTGAATGGTCAGCAGGGTGTTCTGAGGACACTGTACTCCCCTGCTTTTTCAGTGACATTTGTCCTCAAAGCTGCCATTCCTTCTGCTGCCAGCGTTCACTTTTCTCATGGCACCTGAGACAAGAAGATCTCGGTGTGCTGCCCAAGCAGAAAAAAGTGATTATAAAAAAACAAACCTTGGCAGGGAAGTTCATCTCCAGATATTGATTGGATTTGTGTATGGTGATTGCTGAAGGGGAGGTTTGCTTGCTGTGTACCTCTCAGTTGTTGTGGGTGCAGTAACAATAAAAAAATGTGTATTTAGAAGTGCTTTTCATGCTGTCTCTTCAGTGATCCTGGGGGTTTTGCAACGCTCAGTTCGTTCTGCAGCACATCTTTGTACAACAGGCAGCTGAACAAGCAGAAGCTTTATCCAGCTGCCAAATAAAACCTGGGACTTCAGTGGGGTTGCTTAGAGAGGTTTCAGGGGTTATTGGGTGTATCATGTCCACAGGGCACTTCTGAAAATTGTCAAGCTCAAGGTCGGTAGTTGAGGTCTGATGCTCTTTTTGTGTGCCTTGATGGGTTTTGCAGGCAGGGACACCTTCCTGTATCCCTGTCCAGCCTGGCTTGGAACATTTCCCTCCCCACCCTCGCAGGGAAGGATTTTTACCATGGCATGTGAACTGGGAGAAGCGTTTGCAGTGCTGTTGGTTTGCTGCAGACACCCAGCTTCTCTTTGGGCATGACTGTTCTTAATTTGCCCATTTCAATTAGTGCAGTTTCTAATGTTTAATCCACAAAGGCTGAGTGATGTCAGGACCTGGGCATGCAGGATTTTTTGCTTCACCACTTACCTACTCGCTGCTTGCTTATGTAGGATTTTTAGTGTCAAACCTGTGCTAAACTCTGCCTTGATTGGGACAATAATCAATATTTTCCAACAAAAAAGAGATTATCCTCTGCCCATTATGTCTCCTGAATTCTCACTGAAATTTGGCTTTTACATGGTCAAAGCTTTGGTGTGTTTTTGACAGTTTGAAATCTGTTTTCATTTCTATTAGCCCTTAATAGACTGCCTTGACTAATGAATCATCAGCTGCCTGATATTTATCTTGTGTGCAAAGGGCTGCCTGAGAGGGCTGGAAGGTGGTTTGTTTGGGGGTTTGCTGGGGTGGTTTTGCTTCGATTTTTTCCTCCTAAAATATCTAAAGTTCTACTACTACAGCATTAGCTCTGCTTGCCTTGTTTTGTGCTCTTGTGAGGATGGTTTTGTGTCTGACTCAGATCTTCTGTTCTTTAAATGCCACGTTGTGAT